TTAATACAACTAAAGTAAAATCTGTGGAAAATTAACAATAAAATACTCTTTTCGCAAAATCTATAAAGGACCCTTTTATTTCTCAAAAAAACCTGGGTAACAGTTATTCGTCTCCACGCTGTAAATATTTTCTTCGAAAATTTCAACATAATGATACAATTAAATTATATTGTTATAAACTAAAGCATATTTATAATTTTTTTATATTCTTTTGAGGGGGGAAATGAATACAATTATTGGGAAAAACATCAAAGGTCTAATATTTGTTTTTCATTTAACTAATTGCAGTTGAAGTATTGCACATATAATTTTTTTACTGGGGTATGTATTTCCTTATAATCTTAGGTCTTCCCATAGTTAAATTTAAAATATTAATCAGCTTCTTTCCAAAGAATACTATCCTGGACATACATACATATACCTAAAAAGTGAGCAATGTTTTCAACATCTTCTTATTACAAAGTGAACAAATTTTATTCAGATTTTCTTGAAACCTGTTGTGATCGAGTCCGGAGAATTAAAAAAAAAGATACAGGTTATAAATTCAAGGGAATATTTTTGTATGTACATACATACATACATACATATGTTACCGGATAACTATGAACCACGTTTCGATAATTCTTTTTCGGATAAGTTTTCATCGGAAAGGTGGTTTAGTTCCGATCATTGGCCCATGAAAAAATTAACGGTACTCATAAATGTTTATATAAAACAAGAAGTCGATTTTGTTGTTTAATGTTTTTATTTATCATTTGCTCTTAGCGAATTCCATAAAGCTACGTTGAACCTACATTCCAAAACTATTTCCAGTAACAGGACCAATGTTGATAGTAAACTGCCACATATGATAGTGTAGAAGGCTAACTGTAAATCGCTTAGTGTCAAAACCTTCCATTTGTCTCCGATTTCGACCAGATAACCCGGAAAATTGCGTGTTTTCACCTTAGCATTGTACTTCATATCTGCAATCCAGTGGTCAATAAGTCCTGCTTGCACAAATTTAAGCAGTAATATATTGATGCTCTTTTCCAAAGGCGTATTACTTGGAAATACGAAAGCTATATTATAGTTCTTGGGGCACTCTGGTATTTTATGTATTTTCTGCGTTATAAAGTAGTGTATGTCGTCGAGCTCCAGAGACGAAGCTCTGGTAACACCAGCAAACCTAGCTCCTCTAGACATTATGTTAATAAGACGCTCTTCCAACTCGGCGACCAAAAGTAATTTATTTTCCAAATTCTGATAAATATGCGAGCTATGGCCATAAAATAGATCGTCCCTCATAGCAGCATGTTTAATGTATACTCGAACATTCGCCTCGTCCAATTCCTTCAACGTATTGATGTCCTTGTAGTGAAATGGACGTATGTATACTGTTGCCAAGCTCGATTCAAAAAGTGCTCCAAAAATCACACTCACCAAACAGAGCGAGGCAATGAAGATTCGTTCTGAGTTAAATGGCGGGTAATATACGATATTTACGCGCACCCATATCACCCATGTATCCATATAGATGCGTATATATTGCAGCACATGCTTTTTTGTTAGCTGGTGACGTTCCTGATGCTGCAACATTTGCATTTGGAGAATTGATGAATTTTTTGCAATAATGCCTAGGTTTACATGTCTCATCAGCATCCAAATGAAAGGGCTGAGCAATCCAACGGAAATGAAAGAAATCCAAATATCAGCATTCACGGCGAACAAGGGTAGTATTGATTGGGGTATACGACTTGCTTTCTTTACATAGCAACATACTTCATCCATGTAGACCGGAGCAGAAAATGCCATTTCACGAGTCAAGTAGTCTTTAATAAAGAACCCACTTATTATAATATCGGTCTCATAGCGTACTATCCGTCCAATGGCGCCATTGTAGCTGCCATTCAAAGTGCGGGAGCTGCAAGTAAAAAATAGGAGGTTTTTATTCGGCGCCCGTTCCAGTCTGAGATTTGTTAAAAAAAAAAATGACAAAAAAATTAAGAGACAAGGCGGCATTTGGAGGCAGATCGAATTAAACAAACAAACAAATTTCGAAATTGTATTTTGAAATTGTGGAAAACTACGCCGACTGCACTGTGATTCTGACAATCGCTACGCTAAATTTACTTAAGCAAAATTTTCTAAATGAAAAGCAGCGTTTCCTAATAGTATGCAACACGAAAAAGTAACAGAGACACTATGTAATCAGTACATTTCGGATGCTTATGTACCACTGAACTTTAAGACATTTTGTTTATAGTTATGTGGTACATATTTTTAAGCTTAGATTTCTGCATAAACATGCGCGTTCGTATAAAAATGTATAAATTTTTCTTATAGTTAGATGATACATACTTTTAGACTTCGTTTTCTGCGTAAACATCCGCAGTCTAGTAATCAGCCAAATCTATATGTTACATTTTATCAAGCGCACCGGCCATTCTTTTAGAGCGATATCGATTTTCAGAATGTCACTGCTCGTCCAAAAATTTAAATTTTAATTTGGAATCTACCATATCGTCGCTACCATGTCAAACTATCGAATGTGCGAAAATACTTTTTCAATTACGATACCTTGCGTATGCATTTAGAGTGATACGCAAATTGGCAAATCATCAAATTTCGTGTCTTAACAAAGTGTCGAATTCCACACTTTTTCCTAATGACAACAACATTTTTTACAACAGTTTCTTTGCTCTCCTGAAAAGTACCCACTTTCAACCCAAATGCCGCAATCAAACCTGTACTACTGAATCAAACAAAGAGCGACTTTCGTGAACTCTACGAAAGTGATGTGATTGTGTTAAGTAGATACAATTCGGATGTGAATGTTTAGTGCTCTGAATTTTCGCAATCGTCTGAGTTATTTTGTTTCACAAACGTCTATAATCTTGTTAGCTCAAATTTTGAATTGCTTTATATGGTGATTTTTTCTTGAATACCGATACCCCTATTAATTTTTGTTGTTGCTCCTTATTGTTAGTATAAAATGTAACCCAGTAAATCAGATTTTTTACTCAAACTGATGTTGATGGTTTGTCTTCATGTTTGTTCTGCTCGTATCGTATCTGATTTTATTGATTTTCAACAAATCCCTTGAGAAGGGTGTATTCATTGATGCACGGAAGGTCCGTTTCATAAAACCTACCTTTAAAAGTGGAAAGAATAATATAATTGCTAACTACAGACCTATTTCTAAAATATCGACGATCTCTAAACTTTGCAGATGTATTGTCAAACAAAAACTTTATTTTTTTATTATTTTTGTCTATGTACATATGTTACCGCGTAACATTGGACCACGTTAACCGATTACTATAATTCTTTTTTAATGGTAAGGTGTTACCTGACAGGTGGTCTAATTTGGTTTAAATCCGATCATTGGATCATGAATAGATTAACGCTAATCTTAAATTCTTAGATGGGACTTGAAATCGGTTTTTTTTTTTTGTTTTTTTTGCTTAAAAATTACTTGTTTAAGTAAGCATTTGTTGAAAATGCAGTCTCACATAGAAATGTAAAAGTAGGGCCCCTATTATGAGTTGCATTCGACTGTGGTCGAAAGTGCTTATCAAACGAATTTTCATTTAGTATTATGATGCTCATTCGATGAAGAATAGCGCTATTGTGAATTTTGCTTGGTTATGTTGTTTACAATAATCTATATTTCACCGCTGAGAAATTTTCTTTACAAATCGAGCAAACTAAATAGTGTGCTTATACATATGTATGCAAATTTGTGCAAATTAAAATGAAATCGAAAAGAAAGCGAGTTTATAATAACGTGGTAAAAATGAGTACAACGGGGTTCTGGTTCAACGATTCGTCAGAGGATGAGAGCTTGGTAAACTGGCCAGGAGTGGAAAATGTTTAAGAGGGTTTAAGTGTAGTCTTTCGAATATATTTTGACATAAAATATATTTAAGAAATTTGTCCTCAGATTTATTAAAAACTTCTGACTGTCTAAAGAGGTGTTTGTGAGCCAAATCTATTTAAAATATTTTAAAACTATCAACAGCTTACGATTTTGTTCTCAGAGATCGGTTCAACTGAGTATTGGGATTTTCTTTCACATGTGAAACCAGCCTTTTGAGCTTCTGTTTAATATTCACGACGTTAGAACTGCATGAAATTAATAAAAATTGTTTAAAATTAGTGTCTAGCGGCCATAAAGTAAAAAACAAATGCAAAATCATACATTTTTCTAACACTTCGCCGATGGTGTACATCGAAAGCAAAATTCTGTTCGACAGAAAATTCGATACCCAACGAAAATTTCGACACGGTTGCATAGCTCATAATTTCACTTTCGATGTTCGATCTTCGACAACCAGCGAAGAAAATAATTTCTACAGCCAATTTCACGAAAGCAATTTGAGTGATAAATGAGATGTATTTTAATTTCACAGGCCTCTGTTATCTTCGCAGCGTCATGCAATACGGGTTTTAAATCTAGTGGCGGCATCTTCCTTGTCGCCAGAGAATACCGAGGGATCATACAGTGATTTCTCGTGGCGTTTTCGGCCTCTTGCTTCATCCTAGATATCGCTCCTTTCGTTTTGCAACCACCGCAAATATCCGCACACTTGCTCCATTTCAAACCATTGTTCTGTACAAATTTGTCGATAGCTTTAAAAATTTCGTCGCCAGTGGCGTAAGTCTGAAGTACTTCGTTCTACTTCGATTTGCATGGCGAATGAGTACCTCACTAACACCAGAAAACTGCCTCTAAAATCGTGTTGATTCGCTCTTTGACAGTGTGGTTGTGAAGTTCCAAAGAATAAGTAATATATACACGTGCGCGAAACTGCTGCGCTTATTACGAGAACAGCCCAGCCAGCAAAAAATCCGAAAATTAATCCAAAAACGGGAAGAAAATTGGATGAAACGCGGATTAGGTCTACAAAAGTACCGAAAGTGGTTGTGAAAAGGGTACGTTTTCGTCTATTTTTCTGAAAATTTTCTGAATCAATTTTACGTTGACAAAACGTACTGGGGAACTACACTTAAGAGCGAAATATCCCTTTGCTGCAGGCTATTTGTGTTGTGTATGGAGTTTGACGAGCCGCTGAAGGTATTTTAATAAAAATCTAATTTTTTTGATTTTCTGGCCGCCATGTCGAAGTTTGATCAAACCGCTTGCGTTGTGTATGGAAAGCCTAAAGAATTTGTTCGCACCACTGGTAAGGCCTGCTCTAAGGAATCATGGATACTTTCACGTTGAAGTTGGTAAAAAGGAATTAGGCTACTAATTCTCCTGCGTTTAGACCTCTAAAATAATTTAACATGTTAAATATAAAATTCTTCTGTTTTCGATTTCTCATACACAGCAGTCCATTTTAAATGTTTGCTTAATGATTTGTTGAATTAGTGTACGAAGTGTACTATATACATATATTATATAAATAAATAAATAACTAACTAAAAACACCAAAGCAATAACCAATAATCACTTCATCAAGTCTAAATAGCGCTTGATTGTAGTTGGGTTGACATATGAAAAAATGAAAAAGCAACCACAGTTTGTAAGGCGAACTTAACGCAGTGAGAAGACTGCTTGCTTTGTAGGCTGGAGTCACCGGTTTGAATCACAGCGAACTCGATGAAGAAGGCTGATGGGGAGATGTGGTGATCTCTGAAATAAATAGCAGCTACAATATCTTCCATTTATAAACTATTGTTGTTTTTTCCACAATAATTTTTCATAAAAAAACAGCCTCAAGCTCAATAAAAATTGTTAAATAAATCAATATTTCATCAAAATTACTTTTATATTGTACATACGTATGTGGGTCATTTCCAAACAAAGTTCTATTTTTTAGTCCCCCCTTTTTAAATATTTTAATGGTGGTAAAAACGAAAAATCAAAAACAGCATTATCGATCAATCAGTACAATGCTTATCGGTTATTATACTTTTTTCTAACAGTCTCTAAACTTATTTGTTCATTTAGCTTACTTTTAGAAAAGTGACATTCTGGAAAATATTGTACAAAAATGCAAAAATAAGGAAAAATTTAATTTTTGAAGAGACTGGAAGCAGTTTAGTATTCTGCACAAATATTCGGGTCAGTAAACGATTTCAGAGAATAAGTTTATCAAACTTAACAAAATATATAAAACACCTGCCATGTACACTTTGTTTGGAAATGACCCATGTATAAATATGCTTGGGATAATGGTGCTTTGTTCACATCACCCGTCCGCTGATTTGTCTTCATCTTTACGTTCTTTAAACAAAGGCTGTTACACTGACGATGGAATGACCAGCTGTCCCCGTTGTACTCCTTTGCTAAATTTCTTCTTTTCTAGCGATAAGATAAACTTGACTATATGTAACAAACGCAGGGCAACAAAAATGGGAAAAAGTTTTATAACAAAAAATGTTAAAGCTGTTTTTGATAGACTTTTTCATGCTTACGAATTCGTAAGTAAAAAGTCTCATCACGTCCAGATTTTGAGAAAAACGTGATCAAGGTATCAAAAAATCGTTTTTTTTTCAATATTTGAGAAAACAAAAGGTGATAGAACCTTACACTTCGGCTTAAATTAAAGCTAGAACTACTATCCCTGAAAATACCATTCGTGCACCTTGACTTGATGGTCACTTATAGTCATTTGTTGAATAGCAAAAACTGATTTGGGCGAAGTTTGAGTACCTACCGCAATTGAACAAAATGTGGTAGAATTTTCCACTTATGCTTAAATTAAAGCTTGAACTTTCAACTATATTCCCTGAAAATACCATCCCTGGATCTTGACCCTAAGATCACTTATAGTCCTTTATTGAACAGTCCTCTCCTGAACAAATGGACGATATATTCATTTGTAAGGCAAAAATAAACCACACGGTTAGGCTTGCCAAATGTCCGGGTCTAGGAACCTCCGGGCTTGGAACAAAATCTGCGGCTGCGGGTTTGATATCAATTTCTTCGAGTTGCGATTAAAAACTTTGAGATTCTCTGATTTACTGGAAATATAACTAACAATAAGTGGTTTTCTTTTTTGAATCATTCTTCTATTGCCATTTAAAATATTTTAACAACCTTGTCATTGTTGAAGCTATTATCGATTCGCAACTGCATTTCAAAGAAAAATATCTCATTTATAAACCTGCCTTTACATCCATCAATACGATCACTTGATATTTAGATACGCAGTGGATAAGACTTTTCATACGAATACAGATTTCAGAGAATTACCGAAGATAATTACAACAAGCCAGGATAATTTCTGCTTTATGAGCAAAGAAACCTACCAAAATTTAAAGCCTACCATCCTACCAACGAGAAAAAACCTGCAAATTTTTGTAGGAAAAGCCCAAAACGGCAACCCTGCTTTAATTTAAGCAGAAGTGTAAGGTTATTATATATATATTGCAAAAACGCGATTTTTTGATACTTTGCCAACGTTTTTCTCAAAATCTGAACGGATGGATTATAACGCTATGCCTTCTAGAACACGATACCACTAAAAGCGATTACCGATTTTTTGTTGGGTATGTACATCGAAATGTTTTTAAACTAGGAGTCAAATCCATTCTAGAAGGCAGGCACCGAAGCAAATTTTTTAAGCTCCTCTTGGGTAAGCTTTTTAAACTGGCTTCACTCAAGAAGGCCTCCCACAATTATCTTCTGAGATATATAAATGATTTCATTTTTGAACTATTAGCTAGCTCTTAAATATTCTAAATAACATTGGATAAAAAATTTTGTTTACATACCCAAAAAAGTTATCATCCGGCCATTGAAGATCCATTGTAAAATTCATTTTTTCTGATAACAAGTCAGCCACTTTGCCATCAGCACCCGTCGCACCGATAATTCTTCTTGTCGTTTCGTTAACAAACATTTGAATATTTGAATAAACCGAATTAAAAATGTAGGTGCGTAGCGGATATTTATGAAGATTGCGGAAAATGCTCTCGAAACTTGTGTGGCCCAAATGAATCATTTCCCCATTATATAGTCCATTCCTCAGAAACGGATTTAGAAATAAGCAGTCAGCACCACCGAAATCGCCTGTGTCATTCGGAATGATATAGTAGATTCGTAGTGCCCCACGCTCAATCCACAGCCGCCGAGCCAAATTTAGTAACTGTTATTTATTTGGTTGGTCCAGCAGAATATTAATCAGCCAACCCTTACGTGAGGCGTATTTATTTAAATTGGTCGTTAAATCGTTGCTACTCATAACGAAAGCCCAATGTCGTTGAGTGGAAGGATTAGATTGCGGTTCTGCCCGGCCGAGACTCACCTGCAGCGGGCAAAACGATTGCTGCAGAAATTGTTGTACGATATCATTATCAAAGTAATTCGCTTCGAATAAATGCAAATTTAGATAATCAACTCCAACAAAAAGCTGTTTAAAAATACTAAAATCAATGTTAAAATTCGCTGGAGTTGTTGTATGCAGCTTAAAAAGCTTTAGCGATTCAAGCGGCTGGCCTGAATGGTGTTCTAGCCTGATGAATAGCAAATAAGTTATAACTAACCACCGTTTTAGAACTTCCGGCATTTCGTGTGCGTCCTCGCTGAAGTTGAAATGAGCTGTCTCTCGCGCATAAATGCCGTATTTATCCTAAAGTATTAACATTGTAGAAAATATGTACATATGTAGTGTGTATATACTAGGGTGATTGACTCGGTTTTTCCAAATCGGTGTCCGCCGTTTTTTTTTTAATCTATAGGCGGTTTTTTGAAATATTGATTTTTCGAATATCGAATAAACCAGATTTTTTGATCGAACAAACCGGTTTTTTTTTTTGTTTTTATATCATCCCAATCTTGACCTCTGAATAAAACTTTTAGATTTTTCGAAGTTTTTCAGTTTAAGGGAAGCCCCTAAATAGTTTATAAATTATAACCTAGGTTATTTGGGGATGAATAGCATGTTTTATTTGATTCCAATAAACGAATGCTTATCGCTTAAACGCTTTCCGCTACGTGTTTCCGAGCCGAGCTTCGCTTTGTATTCGTGTTCTGCTTTCTATGGCAGAAGTACACTCGGTGGTTTGCCATTGTCTGCCGAGGGGCGACAGCTGCTTGAACAAACTTCTGTTGATGTTGTTGGAAGCAGAAATTGAACCAGGGATCTACTCAAAACTGAAAAAAGTTAGAAAAATGCAATAAAGTATTAAAAAAAAAATACCAAACGTGAATTTTTCACTGATTTTTATTCATTTTAATTTTGATATAATAAATCTTTGTAATTATTTTGCTTTGCTCTTTTCTTAATAAAAGCTATATTTACTGTTAATAGTTTTATTGTAATTTTTGGTCATGACTTCATACCAAGATAAGCATGTTTACTGTTTACAAACTCTGTAAAATAAAAGCGGTTTGACTGGCTTTTTTTGGATTTTAAAATCGGCAACCGGTTTCGGTAAAAGGCGAATAATCGAATACCCTAGTATGTGCATACATACGGTATGTACTTTATAATACACACATAGTTGTGTGCTCTATTACCTAGAACTCCGCCTTTGATACCAACATTTGTACGAGAGTACTTTTGCAAACAAATAAACTTTATGTTGTTGACACCTAATTGACAGGATCTTTATTTGCCTTTATAGGACAATATGCGTGAGGTGTTAGCTATTTTCGGAGGACTAAAATATGCAGTTCTCCAATATATTTGTATGTAGCTGCATAGCTCTTATCAGACAGGCAATTATCGAGTGTCTTGCTTTAGGCCAGAGGTTCCCAAACTTTTTTCTCTTAGACCCCTTTCAGAACTTTATTGGTTTCTGTGGACCCCCTGCTGCTCATTTCTAACATATTCCCAAAAGATATCAAAAAATGTGAAGATTGGATCTAACGATGTAAATTTGCATGGCGGGTGAGTTCCAAAACTAAATTCGGAGTGGCGCAAATAAAAAATAAAATATTTTCTTGTGTTCTATTTATTAAAATAACGTGATTACACACTTGCAAGTTTTAAAAAACAGAGCTCGTAAAGCCATCAAAGTACTATCTCTCTCTTTTTATGCCAAACTTTTAATTCAGAAACTGGCAAGTTAATGATAAACACCAAGCAAGTAGTCATTTACGCCACAGTCAGGTGTTTGTATACCACGTGAAGTGACCAGTCAGCAGTCCAACAAGTTGTCTGCAGTTCCGTCGGCTCAGTGAGAGCAAAAAACTAGATAGACCGTCTGAGATTGATGGCGACATGGGTTTTGCCCACCTGCATCCCCTCGATGCCTCCCAGTCATTGCTGAGCGAAGTATTCTCCCAGTTTCTGATGGTTGCTTCGATGGCCGAAAGGTGGTGTGCAAAAACTGGTTGTGGAATGGGGAATGACTGGTCTGAGGGAATTCAACATTATAGAATCTCTTCCGCCGCGCCCCACTCAGTGTTTTACCAACATCCGTTTTCATTTTAGTCTGTAGGTGGCCTTTATTAAGGCTTTCCCACGTATGAAAACACAAAGTGACGGTAAGTGCAGCAGTGCGGCAAGAGCACTATACACCACTCAAAACAGTTAAAGTTAAATATAGAGGCTTTCAAGCAACCATATTGGTTCTCTTCTATCGAAAGCAGAAATATTTTCGTGGACCTCCATATTTTTTTCACGCCAACGTAGACCCCTGGGGGTCCACCTCGACCACTTTGGGAATCACTGCTCTAGGCTCTATAATCATATGTTATTCACTACATTTGGGTAAAAGAATGGACATTGTAGGCACAGGTGGGCGGTTCTCTTGCCGTCTATGTATAGTTCGATACTATCAATTTAGTTTTCTACACGATTGAATATCTTACATTAGGGGAATTCGCTCTTCTGTGTATTCGTTGTGTTTTGTGTAATTGTAACTGCATGAGCGTGTTGTTTGTTGTTGCTAGCGTTAGATCGAATACACATGCAACAACAGCCCCTCGCTCGTCCAGTTACACTTACGAATGATATAGAAATACTCAGAAGCGCGAATTCCACTATTGTTATTGTAGCAAATACATATGTATTAGGCAAATCCTAATATTATGGGCAGCTGTTGCATGAGAGTGAGGCCATATCAACTCATCATGGAAAAGTCACGGATTTTTAGAAAAAGCATATTATTGAAAAGTACTTATAATTCTTATCCTTGCATAAACTATGTAAATGTTTTGAAAAAATGTGTATATGTATGTATGTTTTTGTATGAAAAAATTTAAAAACTAATTTCTCCTAAGCTATTAGAGATAGTGGGATGAAATTTGGCCCCTTTGTAGGTAAATATTCACACATTCTCATACAAAAACAACAACAATTGTTAGAAATAACTATTTTTTCTTACAATAATTTTCTTTTTTAACAATTAACTCATGAAATCAATTATTTCGTTGTTTTCTATTTTTAACCGACTTCCAAACAAGGAGGAGGTTATCAGTTCGTCGGAATATTTTTTATTTTTTTTTATATGTATGTTACCGCATAACTTTGTACCACGTCAACCGATTTCGATAATTCTTTTTGCACCGGAAAGGTAGTGTCCCATGCTAATCTGGTTTAGATCCGATCATTGTATCATGAAATATATATAGATATATAACTATTATTTTTTTTTTTGTCGGCTGTTTTTTTGCTAAAAATTACTTGTCATTACAAATATTTGCAAATTGATTAGTGTAGCATTGTAGGATATATATTTATATTTAAGTTTATTTTTAATGTTTTAACATTGAAAGTTTATTTATTAATAATCAAAAAATTTCTTTTTGATAACCATCAAAATCAACGAACAATAAATTAAATTCCAAGAACTATAACAAGTATAAAAACATACAGCTAAAATACCCTACAAGCATCAACTATTCAAAACGCCCAGAACTACTTAAAAATATTTTAAGAAAGAATGATAGAAATCGCTTAAGATTTGTTGTCAACAAATTCTTATTGCCTTTTTGAAAGGTACTTTTTATTTTACGGCGACTTACAAGGAAAATTTGTGTACAGTGCAGTGTACATGGCAGGTATTTTGTATCTAATATTTTTTTAAGATTGATAAATTTATCCTTTGAAGTAGTTTATTGACCCGAAAATTTGTGCAGAATACGAAACTGCTATCATGCTCTTATAATTAATTAATTAAATTAATTTTTTCCTTATTTTTGCATTTTTGTAAAATATTTTCCAGAATGTCACTTTTTTTAAAGTAAGCTAAAGGAATAAAAACGCTTATAGACTGTTAGAAAAAAGTATACTCATCGATGAGCATTGCACTAATTTTTAACAATAACTGCATGCTTTTTAGACATTTGCATATCACTTTAAAACTCATTAGGGGTATTCTCTGAGTCTTGCAAAGCCCTTGTACGGCGCACGGATTGCACGGTTTGCAAAGCTGTCCCATACGAAAACCGGTTTTTACCGTGCAATCCGTGCAATCTGTGCACCATGCAAGGGCTTTGCAAGACTCAGAGAATACCCCTATTTAATACACATACATACATACATAAAGTGTTTAAATTTACCTTGATCATTTTTGCCTTTATCTTTACGCATCTTTGTTTTTGTTTTTATTTTTACCTTTGTCTTTATCCTTTTCTTTATCTATGAACGTACTTCATTCTTTAGTCTTTTATTAGCAAAGGTGTGGGTGAATATGTGGATGAAGATAAAGATCTGGATAAAAGTAAAGGTAATAATAAAAATAAAGCGGCCCTTTATCTATTTCATGTGTGTACATACATTTTATTCCTAAACTGCTGTTTAGCACGTTTCTTTAATTCAGCATCAATATTAAAGCATACATTAAGGAGGCGTTTCCGCCCCAACCATGTACATGTATGCTATTGGTATTGGTGTCACTTTTGAATTGATTTTTTCGCTTTATGTTAGATCATGATACAAAAATAGAAGGTAGTTTCATTTATTGACATTCGTTGTTGTTGCCGACCACTTGACTTTTAACAAGTTTATGACACTTAACTAAAATCATGCTACCAGATTCAGTAGCAGCAAAAATTTGGTTTCTTGAAAAAGTAAAAAAAAAAATGAGAGGTCAGTGAGGTTGGATGAAAATATGAATGAAAATTATTGCGCGTTTCCAAACTGCGAGAATTCGATACACCTACGCAAAGGTTTGAAAATAGAGTTTTTTGCTTTTCCGAGGATAGAGTACGTAATACGATCTAATGCAGTTTGATGACAAATTGCTGAAGCAAAATATTTTTAAACCTCCAAACGATGTACCGTTATCCGTGGAAGAGGGAGGAGGTTGAGTTAAAATGATGCCCTGCAACTTGTAACGGA